GGAAGGAACTGATGCTGATCTTGAGTTCTGGAGAATAGAGACAGAAATGGAGCCCATCTGCCATTTCCTACTGCCCGAACTTTTGCTTAAGCTGGAGGAAACATCCCATAGATAAGAACCTGTTAGTCAGCAAGAATCTGAAGATGTGCTAAGGTTCTTGCTCAACACAGTGGGAACAGCATGATGAGTGACTAGAACAAAGACCAGAACCATTTGGAGGATATTTAGCAGCTCTTGCACCTCAAGCTCTAGAATGGGATAACTGTAATTACAGAATGTGGAAGTCCCAGGCAGCTAGGTACTACAGTCAGTCAATGTCCTCTTGAGTGTTCAAGAGGGCAGTGCATACACTGCTGGAAAAGGAAAAGGTGAAGAGCTCTTGACGCAGAGTGAGGATTCCCAGGGTGATCCAGGTCCTGCCTCACTGTACTCCCCAGCACTTCCTCTTTCATAAGACCATTACAGGAATCACAAAGTGAATGGGAAGGCTTTTGAAAATGGCTTTGTAAATACAAGAAATAGACACAATTCTCTGTGTATCTTTTGCTGTTGGTCTGATGACATCTGATCTTTATAGCTGAAGAAAAATCTTTCTGTAATAAGCGCACTAACTGTGAAAGCCTCAAGTTAGTCACGTTGTCCCTCAGGTCTCATATTAGTTTCCTGTCACTGCTGTCATAAATTACCATAACTTGCTGACTCAAAACAACAGAAATTGACTCTCACAGTTCAGAAAGCCAAAAATCCAAAATTAAGCTTCCCTGTGAATTCACGCTCTGTATGATGAGCTGAGAAACGATTCCCTCCTGACTTTTCTCAGGTGATCTTTGCAATGCACAGCTCCAGGCTCTGCCTTCTTTGTTTTTGTTTTTATTTTTTGTTTTTTGTTTTTTTTCTGCACCGTTTGTCTCTTATAAAGGCACTTGCATTGGATTTAGTGACCACTCTAATCTACTCAATGAGATTTTATATTGATCCTTACTTGAGTTGCATCTAAAATAATTAGCTTCAAATAAGACCACAATATAGAATTCCAGGTAGACAAAAATTTGGGTATAAGGGACAGTTCATTTGAAATGGCACCTGATAACCTCCATAAAGCATCTTTCTAACTCTCATTCAATGTACACTTCTGTTGAATTTTAGATTGGATTGAACAGCAAAATCCTTCAGGCGAGTGCCTGGCATTAGCTCAATGTGAGCCTCTGCAGAAGGGAGGGTGGGGAACAGCTTCCTTAGGCAAGCTGGAGAGGGCTTCATTCTAAAGGTGGTAAGAGGAATAAAAAACACAAGCATCACTGAGTATCTTTGGGAGAGAGGAACTTGACCTAAATAAACTGCTGCACACATTCCTGTACCTGTGGCTTGAGAAAAGGGCACTTATCTTGAAATCAAACTCAATCACTGGTTTTGCAAAAATGGGGTTAGCACTAAGATCTCCCATCAAGAGATTTCAAATATGAAACTTCATTAACATAAAAGGCATATTATGCTCTTGTCTCACCAAATGTGTTTTCGAAAGCTAGAATGAGCATGTATCAATATCAGGAGTCTACTCTCTCTTCATGTGGACCTTTTGCCAGGTGGTTGTGTGGTCTATACAAAAGCCTTATGGAACAAGATGTGTGGGAATTCAGGATTGCAATAGTCTCACATCAAATAGTTAAATTCCAAATGACTATACCTTTCAGTCCACCCATTTGTATTTTCAGTTATTGTGTCCTAGTAAATGGTTAATAATCTGGTCTCTGAAAAATATTGTATGCATATGCATATATATATATATATACACACACACACATATGCATGAAACAGTTTATCTTCAATTTTAATTATATAAAGATATATAATACACATTATTTATAAAATAAAACTTATTCTGGTTTTTTTAAGATTTATTTATTTTTATGCTAAAGGCAGATATACAGAAAGAAGAGAAAAATATCTTCTATCTGCTGATTCACTTCCGAAGCTGAGCCAATCCAAAGCCAGGAACTAGGAGCTTCTTCCAGGATTCCCACTTGGGTGCAGGGTCCCAAGGCTTAGGGTCATCTTCTATTGCTTTCCGACGCTACTGGTAGGGATCTGGATGGGTCGTGGAACAGGCAGGACATGAACTGGCATCCATATGGGATCCCAGCACATGTAACAGAAGGATTTAGCCGTAAGATGATCGTGCTGGGCCTACTTCTTATTGTTGTTGTTGTTGTTTAAGATTTATTTATTTTTATTGGAAAGTCAGATATACGGAGAGGAGGAGGGATAGAGAGGAAGATCTGTCCAATGGTTCACTCCCCAAGCAGCCACAATGGCTGGAGTTGAGCCGATCTGAAGCCAGGAGCCAGGAGCTCTTCCAGGTCTCCCACATGAGTGCAGGGTCCCAAACCCTGGGCTGTCCTTGACTGCTTTCCCAGGCTACAAGCAGGGAGCTGGATGGGAAGCTGGGCCACCAGGATTAGAACCACCGCCCATATGGGATCCTGGCACATTCAAGGTGAGGACTTTAACCACTACACTATCGCACAGGGCCTTGTTTTTAAAGATTTATTCGTTTATTTGAAACTTAGAAAGGGAGAAACATCACTCTTCATGTACTGAACTAGCCAGAACCAGACCACATGAAATCCAGGAACCTGGAACTTCACCCTAAGTGGGTAGCCAGAACCTGGGTCGGGCCTTCATAAGCTGCCTCTCAGGCATATTAACAGGAAGCTGGATGGGAAGCACAAGGCAACCAATACTTCAATGAAGCACTCTGATAAACAGGGTGGGTACCCCAGGTAGCAGCTTCGTTCTTTATACCACAACGCCTCCTTTCCAGCGTGGGCTTTTTTTTTTAATGACGTTTACATAGTTGATCAGAGTGGGAAGGATCAAGGGTTAGGGAAAAGTGGGTGTGATCACTGTTTCCAAATTTTACTTTCTCCTCCTGTATCTAGGGGAAGGGAGGAGATAAGGGAATGAGCCACAGTCAGCCTCTCAACCGCCCCAGTACCCAGGGATGGGGGAAAGACCACCCAATATTACTCCAGGGTCCCAATATGGCACACGCTCCAAGGATTTTGCTAGGTGGTTTTGATAGTTCTGAAGTGCTCGCAATCTCGCCGATCCAAGGATGAGGAAACCCTTCCAATGTCCACTTTAAGTCTTCATTTGTCCAGATTTTTTCTGTCATTGTTTGGCTGGAGTAGTTGTCCAATTTTGTCTGTTCTCTTTCTTCTGCTATGTCCTCTGCAGGCCTCAATGGGCTGTAATATCCTCCATGTGCATCAGGGCCTGCCATCCACTGTTCCATCTTTTCCATTGAGGAGGACAGATCTCACAGACAGACCCAAGGGCCCAGCCAAGTGACCTGGGCCCCATCAGACCCCCCACTCCTGGGGCACACAGACCCAACATTCAACACACAGGCAGGCCCAAGGACCTGGGCCAGGGAACCCCAGCTAGTTTTAAGAAATGAACAACATTATTAATTGTAAATTATGTATATTCTATTGGTTTTCATAGCATGTCTGTACTTAATGCTGGCTTATTTCATACTCGAGTCAATCTTGACAATTCACAAATATAGCTAGCTGTAATGTGAGTACCGATCCATGTCCTTTTTTAAAGTCAAATACGAAACAATGAAGACATATGTCGAAATACCACTTGCTTATCTGTGACACTGGCAAATCAAATGACAATTTTTGAATGCCAAGAAAACATTTTCTTTGTTCTTCTGCTATTTTCAACGTAAGGGCTATAGTCACAAGACATGTTTTCTGTACCACTTTTGCGCATCTATACAACAGTATAATAGTAAACTGAAGCACTGCTTTATGTTGTTTGCTGATTTCCATGTTATAAATTTCCATGGCCAGTTCCAATCTCCCAACATGATGTCACTGAATGAAAAGCTGGGAGGAGAATTGTAACAGCACCCATGATACAGTAACTTATTTTCATTATAATGGGCTATAGCATTACTAATAATAACCTAACAAAGTAATTGGAAAGTAATTAATAAGTAGAAGATTTTAGTCCCTCCATTTTAAATACATTGCATAAAACCTAATAATCGCCATGTTTGTCAATCAGTTCGTTGTTCCCCAAAACATGACTGACTTTCATGTATTGATATGTACTGGCTCTCTCCCAAGACTGCACGATGGTGTGGGGAGAATGGCCGACAGCTATTGAGTGAAGAAGTGAGGGGAACAGCAAGGATATAAAACAAGTTCACACGTAGCACCAGCTTTCTTTATCCTGATCCCCTTGAGGAACTCCATATAAGAAAGCGCCTCTGACCTGTGAAAGTGGACTCCTTATGCTAATTGGCCTTCTAAAGCTTCCATGTGAGCACTGGTGCTAACAGTATCTTCCCAGTGTTCCATTATCATGGTTCAACAAGTATGGGGTTTCTCTGCCAATTCTGACTACTTCTCTTAAATGAAGAAAGACAGCTCCTCAAAGTACAGCACACTATATTCCAACATACTGTACCCAGCAAGGAAACTGGACTTCTGCCCAGAGATCCACACTCTTCCACCCCAGCTCTCTGTGAATGTGGCACTAGGACCTACCTGCGTGTAGAGGTGCTCTCTGAAATTATGGGACAAATCGGAAGAAAGAGTTCCATGAATTCATTAAAAATCAGTCATTTAAATTCAGCTGACAGCTAGCAAATTTGAAGATTGGCTTGATAAAACTCCCTCTTTTTTCTGCACTCTTAGAAGAGCTACCAAAGAGAACTACTCAAAGAAATCATGACACCCATTTCCTGGAGACAGTGAAGGAAAGAAGGAAGGGAGCTCATTTCAGCCCCAAATGGGGCTTTGGCCAGGATGACTACACAGCCCTTTTCCCATCTCCAATAGTGTAAGTAAGTGCCTGACTTGTTTCTTGAGAACAAAAGTGACTTAAGGCCCCGAAGAGAGATGAGCAATCCTCGAGACACAGGCAGAAAAAGTCCCAAGCGAGACAGGAAGCTAGTTCAGGAACCTGCTGGTTCCTGATGTGTAGACTAGACAGCGCAGCAGCACTGCTGACACACAGCTCGCCTCTGCTGTGGTGCCTCTGAGCAGCTGCCGGGCTCCCAGCTGGGCTCCTTCCTCTCTCTTCCCTGGCTGATGGCTACCAACAGACCACTCTCCTGGAGCCTCCTGCTGGTCCTGTCCCTGGTTTTTGGATTGAGCTATGGATCAGGTGAGTGTTTTTTTATTTATAGTTTGAGTGTCACAGCTAGCTGCCAGGAACCTGCTTAGCCTCGTGGATGGAGAGCAGGCACAGGGGCTGGGGACTGTGGGTTGGCTGCCTCTTCCCTAAGGACTGGCTCTGAGTTTCAACTGCCTCTTTCAAGAAGGAAGGAACATTGTGAGTTCTTGGGCCCTTGGGTTTCCAGGCTCAATGCCACCGATCCTGGTTTCCATGGGAACCAGGAGCTCTTAGACAAAGGCACCTGTCACACTGCTAATCAGCCTCTCACCATGAGAAGTTCTCACCATAGTTCTGATCTAGCAGATGGTTGTGTTTGGGTGACAAAGAGCTCTGGGACATGATTTGGCCTGTGCACCTCTTTATCCTAGAGGTCATGTGTACACATAGAGACAAACAAACCAGACCTGGACCAACGAAAAGCAAAAGCTACAGCGGGAAGAAAGAGTAGAAGTAAAAACCACCAGCCTTTGGTTGAAAACAGAAACAGTGGCCACCGCGTGGTCATATCAGTGGCTACTTTCTTGGAAGAGAAGCTTCTAAAGCAATGGGAGGGAGAATGGTTGGGATTTCTGAGCCCAGGGCTGGTTACAGTATATGGGAAATGCAAATAGAAAGCTCTGGTATCAGAGTGGCTTCAGCAGTGAAGCCAGATGACAACAGACACTTTGGAGCCTGGTTTATCTACTTCTCAAGACAAGCTGCGATTTTCTACTTAGCAGCTTCAGGACGTGAGAAAACAAAAGCCAAATATGGATTAACTGTTGAGTTGATGGCATGACGAAGACGGGACTCTCCTGCTTAAATGCTTTGGGACTTTGGTTAGACTTTGGGAAGCAACCTGGGATGGGCACAGCCTTAGGGAAAGGGAAAAACCCTGAGGCCCAGGGTGTTTTGAGTTTGGGGTTTTCAAGACCACAAATCCATGATGGACTTTGGCAGGAAAAGCCCCAGGAGCCACTAGGAACATAGGAAAGATATGTATGGATCTCTCTTGTGCCAGACTCCCAAAGGAAGAGGCCCTTCCTTGGCCCCAATTACCTGTAGAATCAACAAAACCAGAGCTCTTGCTAACTGGAGTCCAGGAAAGAACAACTGATCACTTAGTGTGATCACGGGGAGGCAAGCCTTTCAGTGGCACCTCATTTGTGACCTTGGCTTTTGGCATACTGGCTTGTGACAGTAAGGAGGGAGAGATTGTTCTGCTGGCTGGATTTTTCTGTCTTTGTGCTGATTGGAATGGTCAAATAAGCCAGACTTCTCAGCCAGGCTCAGGGAACCTCTGATACAGCTGACAGCTGCTCACCTTGAGACTTTGGATGTGGCTGGTGAATTAGACACAACCCAGCCCCGGAAGGCGTGTCTGCCCAATCGTCTCCTGCTCTCTTCCTTGTGCCAGCTTCTGAAATGCATACAAAATCTGTTCAGTCTTTATTTTTAAATACACACCTTTTTTTGCGAAAGTCTAGTAAAACCCAGACGGAAACACTTTGCAAATGGGCCAGGTCAGTCATGACAGAATTCAGCCAACCAAGAAATTTAATTCTTGTAAAATAAGTACCACTCTCCTTCCCATCTCTATTCAACTCAATTTCCAATTTCCAGTCAGGACTTGAGAAAATAAAAAAATCTACATGTCGCCTTCCCCCAGCAAAGTGAATTTTCCTTTTCTGCTGATGAGTTTTCTAAACAGATTTTATGTTTTAGAGCAATTTTAGCAAATTAAGCAGAAATTAGAGAGTTCTTTACATCCTCTGTCCACACAGATAGTGCATCCCCTACTGTTTATATCTCCCACTATGGTGGTACATGTTTTTAAACTTGATGGACCCCTGTAAGATTTTATTTCCCGTGCAAATCTTCCTCACCCCATTCACATACATGAGAAAAGAGGTGAGAAACAACTGTGTGGAGTCTAGACTTGATCCCAAGTGATGTGTCTACTAGTCCTTGTATGTCAAAATATTTGTCTGAGCATTTGAATTTCCCAAAAGCTTTCCTACTGTAATAGCTGTCTCCATACTGGACTAGGAATCAGAGTGTAGGGACTATTTGGTTTCATTCATAGATTGACTTTTAGCAGTTATCTATTAAGAGCAGTTGATATGATAGACATTGTGCCAAATGTGTGGAAAACAAATTGAACTATAAGAGCCATGCTTAGACCCTGAGAGTCCATGCAGAACAATCTGTTCGATGAAGAACAATAGCACACACTTCATGCTCGCTTTGTACCAAGCAGAGTTCTAAGTGCTTTATGTATATCTGTCAGTTAAGTCTCACTTGAGTTATGAATTATTATTACCATTAAAAATGTAGGAATGAGGGAGGAGAGATACAGAGTTATTTAGCAATTTCTTTGTGCTTACGCATGCTGACTCTAGAGTCCTCAGTGATTGAAACAGGATGAGCCCATGTCTGAAAGGTGGGGATGATGCTAACATTTGTGTTCAGCTCTCATGGATTAGAATTATCTGTCACACAGATCAAGGGTGACTAAAGATTTTCAGACTGGAGAATAATAAGTGCAAATAATCTAAGAAGAACACCAGTATTTCCAGTAACATCAAGAAATATGAATAGGAGTTTGTTTGGGAGGCTTTTGTTTTGTTTTGTTTTTTAATCATTTTTATTTACTTGAAAATCAGAGAGGGAGAGAAAGAGCTCTTCCATTCAACCATGTGAATTGAAGTGACTTGAACTAAACTGAACTACAGACTTTTTATAAAATGAAAAACACTGTTAATGACTTTAGAATGTAGACGGCATGTAAGTATTTTATTTGAAAATTGGAAACAGGGCAGAAGCTGTTTTCATCATGCCAGTTTTCTCTTGATTTTTTTTAAAAAATGAATCTTTTTATTTTATGAGCATTGTGTTCAATTATAAAACTCCAACAATCTGCGAAGTAAGGGCTCATCTCCCTTCCATGCCCCTGCATGAAGGCAACCACTGTTACAAGTGTCTTTTGTGTCTTTCTAGGTGTGCGAGGACCGGCAGATTGGGGTTTTTTTTTTTATGGGACTTGCAAATAAGTATTCTGTTTGGAGGCACAAATGCAGAAATAACATATTGCAAGAGTTGAGGGAGGAATGAGTTTTGTTGTACTAGAAACTTGGAGATCATAACTGATACATTTCCATCTCTTCACCTGGCAAGAGCAGAAAAGGATTCTCATTATTTCCTCCCATCTTATGCATTTTAGGGGTTTTTTAAAGACAAATTCAAATATGCAGTTATTATGGAGAGAGAAGAATTGTGATTCCATATTGTCATTTATCCCCTTCTTTAATCATCCATCCTGTTTTGCCTTGCTCATTCACTTGGGCAACAGGATTTACTGAGCCCATGTCATGTCCCAGACGAATATTATGGATATATCAGTAAATAAAACTTACACAGCCCTTACTCTTAGAAGCTTATAAGATGGAGTAAGGGTGACAGACTGTTAGAAGGGTAACGAATGACATTGTGTTTAGGAAGCATGTGGCAGGAAAACTTAACCTATCTTAGCAATCAGGGGAGTCTTCCCTAAGAAAGGTATGGAGGTTCAAGGAACCAATCAGACAGATAAAGGGTGGTTATCGGCTTTCAAGCTGGGATTAATATGTACAAATAATCTAAGAAAAGGCTCAGTATTCTTAGTAACATCAAAGAATATGAATAGGAGTTTGATGGGCTTTAGTTTGTGGCTTTCTAACCATTTTTATTCACTTATCTGAAAAGCAGAGAGACAAAGGAGATCCACTAGTTCACTCCTCAGGTGTGCACGGTAGCCAGGCCTGGGCCAAACCCAAGCTGGGAGTCTCCCATACAGGCAGCTGGGAGCAGTGTGTTTGAGGCATTGTTCACTGCCTCCTGACTTGTGCATCAGTAACAGGAATTGGAAGTAGAGTCAGGACTGGAACCCACGACTCTGTTATGGGATGTGGGCACCACAAGGGGCATCTTAATCATTGTTCCAAACATCCAGCCTGGGTTCTAGTTAAAAAAAGCTCTAGTCTTTTTCCTTTTGGGCCTAAATTTTGCAAAACAAAATTGTGGATCCAGTAAGTGCTATCTCTTCTCTGCCTAAAATAAGGGTCATAGCAAGTTTATCTAAAGCATGTACAATAACAGAACCATACCTCTCTCCCTGTCCCCAAGACATTAACATTAGGTAGAATCCCACCTTGTTAAAAAGGTAGCTAAATTCTGCTACCATCGGGCCAATATCCATGGGCCCGTGTGAATCACTCTACTTTCGAAGTAGAATTACCCATGAGGGAAAGTGAGTTGGTGGCAACAGTTCTAAATGTTTCCTCCCCAACTCTTAGTAAACAGGGGCTGACTGAATCACAGGGCCCCTGGAAAACACTTATCAGTCAGATGTTTCAGGAGTAAGAACTCCTCTTGAAGAAGATGAGCCACTTTCAACCCCCACCCCCTGTCTTATTTTTCCACTTGTGCTTACTTTGGGATGATCTCAAATCCCGCCTTCAGACCTAGCCACTCACACACTCTGTTGTGACATCACTGTTTCTGATGTGGGTTGTGAGGTGTCAGGGTCTCTAGTCCTGCTCAAGTTTTGATTCCAGTCCTCATGTGCACAAACCACGCATCTATCCTGTCCTGCTTCTTCTGTTTCTCCAACTTTTTTTTTTTTTGGCTTTCTTGTATTTATTTATTTTGGCCACATCATACCTCGTCTTATACCTCCTTCTCCACTTCCTCCAATTCCAAGTTCATAAAATAACTGTGGTGTAAAGAGTCCAAACAGGGCCCGGCGCAGTGGCGCAAGTGGTTAAGGTCCTCGCCTTGCATGCCCGGGATCCCATATGGGCGCCGGTTCTAATCCCGGCAGCCCCGCTTCCCTTCCAGCTCCCTGCCTGTGGCCTGGGAAAGCAGTTGAGGACGGCCCACAGCTTTGGGAACCTGCACCCATGTGGGAGACCCGGAAGAGGCTCCTGGCTTTGGATTGGCATAGTATCGGCCCGTTGCGCTCACTTAGGGAGTGACTCATCGGACGGAAGATCTTCCTCTCTGTCTCTCCTCTCTGTATAGCTACCTTTCCAATAAAAAATAATAAAAATAAATCTTTTTTAAAAAAAAGAGTCCAAATGATTATGTAGGAGAAAGACATAGGGGACACATGGAGGATGTGTGGGAAAGTGAAGGGTTATAATCTGAGAGTAGAATAATTATCATCCTTTCTTTTCTCCATAAAAATTAGTTTATAAAAACATAAGTGCTACCGAAGGGATTCTTAATCTTGTTTTGAATCTCCGATCCCTTTGAGAGATGACACTGACAGCTGTGCTCCCAGAAAAAAAAAAATGTGGCTTTGCTGATCTACACAACTTTTTCTTTACTAGTTCAGATCCATGTGGGTGTGAACGACTCTAAATCTTCTCTCACTCCTTTAGAGATGTAAGTCTGAGTTCAGATACATGACAGCCGAGGAGTCTCATCACTGATTTTCAGACATTCAAAGTATGGCTTAGAAAGTCCAACACCTTCCCAGCTATCTGTGTAGAAACAATAATCCCTATTGATTCCTCAACTAACCAAATCACAGCGAATACTCCAAGGATGATATCTCATATATGTATGTGTCATATCATATATATCTCATATATATGATATACAATAAACATAATTATATATAGTGAATATATAATATATAGATTACTTTTACAAATTTATACATATATATAAATTTTATTTTTGATGCTGTTTACCTAGTTGATTAGGGTGGGAAGGGTCAAGGAGTAGGGGAAAGTGGGTGAGACCATTGTTTCCAAATTTTCTTTTTCCTGTGTCTGGGGAAAGGCAGGTAAGAGGGGAACTGCACCCAGCCTCCCAACTGCCTCAGTCCCAGGAGATGAGACACCGTCACCTGATGTCATCCCAGGGTTCCTGATGTCATCCCAGGGTTCCTGATGTCATCCCAGGGTTCCTGATGTGCAGCATGCTGTGTGGGTTCTACGCAAGTAGTTTCAATAGTTCTGAAATGCTGCCAATCACACCAATCCAAGAATGAGAAAACCTTTCCAAGGTCCGTTGGCTGACACAGTCCACCTTAGAGTCTCCATTCACCCGGATATTTGCTGTCAACGCTTGCCTGGGGTAGTTGACCAGTTTGTTCTGCCTTCCATCCTCTGCTGTGATACCAGATGTCCTCTTCAGGACTCAATGTACTGCTATACCCTCCATGTGCATCAGGGCCTGCCGTCCACTGCTCCATCTAAGCCACTGAGGAGACCCAGTTCTGACAACAGTATCTAACAGAACAACTGTTTTATGCATTTTCCACTTTTCTTTAGTAATTATCCATTTCCTCAGTTTGACCCAAACAAATTGTTTTTTTCCCTTTTTCCCAGTCATTGAACATCGTATGACCTGGGCTTTCAACTGAATGGTGTTTGGATTTTAGCGCATTACAGCATCAAGAACATTTTTGCCAGTTTAGCCACATTTCCCTTAAACTATCTTAGACCCAAGGAGAATATGGGAGGGTCTTTTCTCAGTAGCCATGTTACATAAGCAGGTTGTTTAACTCTTCTGCTTTCTTATCATCTAGAACAATCTATGCTCTCTCTCTCTGAGTCATGGGTCCCTTTTTTTTATGAACACTAGATTATGGTTGATTTCAGTTATATATATAATAGGCAAAACTAAGTAAGAGAGATTTTAGTGTAGTAATACTGCTTTCAGCATTCATAGACTGAAAAGATATTTATTAAAAGCCTCCTATGTGCCAACTTCTATCATGGGTCCTAAAGATGAGACAAAAGGTGAAAGAAGTTCTTGAGAGATTTGCATTCTAGTGGCAGAGACAAAAATAAAACAATACTCAATATCACATTAGGCAATGATTAATGGAATAATTGGGAGGCTATTTTGAATTGAGGACTAGAGAAAGTATGTCAGAAGGTGTAAACTCTCAGAGGAAACCAGAAATAAAGTTGGGAATGAGCTATTCAGACATTGAAGGAAGAGGTTTCCAAAGAGAGGAATTGCAGTGATTTGAAATACTAGTGTTCATGGTAGGGCTTGGGAATCAATGTGACCATGGAGCAGTGAGAAAGGAAGAGGGAAGGAATCAGAATTCGAGCATCCTCTAGGGTTGGAGTGTGCAAGGTTTTTGAATCTGTATCTGTTGAGGACTATGGAATTTATTGTATGGGAACTAAAATCTCCTGGGAGTTGAAAAGGAAAAGCAAGACAAAAATTGGACAAAGTGTACAGGTTACAGATGCAATGAGATCACTTGAAAGACAATGCCCATCCCCCACTTGCAATGATCTGAGAGAAAAGAAGTTGCACAGTGCTCTGATGCCAGACCCGTGCTTCTATTCAGGGCCAAACAAGACTTACTGTTAGACGGAGTCTGGAACATAGAAAAGGAAAACAACCTAAGTGCTTCCAATATATATATATATATATATATTGCCTGAGAAACTGGCTGAATTCTAATGTTTGCCAAAGAAGTTACAGAATAAAGAGTTTATTTGCTAGATTTTGGATGCCATCAGACCTCCAAGTATTGAGCTAGGTTGGCAATCAGGAGTAATGTGAAGGTTTGGGTGCAATATATAAGCATTTGGTAAACATTCTAGAATGTGTACTGGATGAGAACCAAGATGAGTATAAAGGGAGAAAAAAGCATGACTTTTGTGCCTGGGTTGCTCCAATATTTAGAGACCTGGAAGAGGAAAAAGCCTTCACCAAGGAAACTGAAAAGGGAAACAATGAAAACGGAGGAAAACTAGGAGAGTCTCGTATTTCAGGAGCTACATGAGGACAGTATTTTAAAGAGGGAGTGGTGAACTGTCTAGTGCTTTAGGGGGAGTAAGTAGGATAAAGATGGAGTATTGACTCAGCTTCATGTAGAAGAGAGACAGTCACTTTGCTGAGAATGGCCCTAGCAAGTAGCAGAAAGCACCTGTTTGGAGAAGAGTTGAGAAAAAAAAAATGGGTCAGAAACAGGGGATGGAAAATAGAAACAAACATTAAAGATCTTTCTACAAAGAAAAAAACAGAGGATGAGCATCTGGTACAGTAGTTATAACTCCTTTTGGGATGCCCACATTTCACCCTGACAGGCAATAGTTGATGGCTGAAGCAGCTGGGTCCCAGCCATGCACTTGAGAGATCCCAATTGAATTCCTGATTTGCATGGCTCAGTCCTGGCTATTGCAAGCATCTGAAAAGTAAACCAGTAAATGGATGATCTCTGCCTCTGGCCGTGTGTCTGTTCGTGTGCACCTTTCAAATAAAACAAAAATAAAGGAAAAATAGAAAAGATCACTGGGGAAGCAGCTGGAATAAGGAAGGTATTTTTAAGAGAGGGAAATTACCTGCCTTGTGATGGAAATATACCAGTAGGAATGATATAATACAAGAAAACAGGGAGATTGCAGAATCTAAGCCTTGAGCTAGGGAAGGGCTCCAAGAAGGGACAGGCTGGCATTCCATGGAGACTAAGAGTGCCCATCCCATTAGGTCGGTTGATTTGGGGTAGTAACAAATGGAAGCACTCTTTTTATATCTTCTATTTTTTTTTCATTTACATGAAAAGCAAGATCATCAGCTGAGAGAGGTGGGAGTAATGCAGGTTGTGGGTTTGAGCAGACGAGAGGTGTTAAATGATCAGCAGCAGGATCCCTTCTAGTGGTTTGAAGCGTATTTGGGCTGGGGTGTCTTTTACTTTGTTGGCTCAGCTTTTTTGAAAATGAGAAATAAAATAGTCTCACCCTCAATGTTATGCATTCTCTCAGAAATCTTTGGAGAGCTAGAATTCCACATCTTGGAAACACTGAGCTCAGCATTTCACTGATCACTTCCCTCTAAGTCTTTCTCGTCTTCTGAATGATGCTACTAGCTACTAGCACCTTGGTACTCTGGGCTTATACATTCAGAATCGTTTTCAGCTGCTCTAAATCTTCATTCTGCACATCCAATGATGGTGAAAACCCTGGAAAAGGCACAAACAGGCCTGGGTTCTGCTCCTGAGTCTGGCACTTACTATCTACATGACCTTAAGGTAGTCATTGAACTGTAGAAATCCTGTATTCTAGCTAGCCCTGTGTTAGGTCATTTTGAGATTTTTGTTGATACTTTTTAAATATACATTATGCAGTCAAGAGCCTCCTGGGAATCCTGATCAACCCCTAAGAACCTGGCTATCCCAGGGATGGCCCAAGAGGAAGTAGGAGACTGAGAAACCTTACTTTGTCATTCCTGATTCAGACATGATGTTGTCCTCAAAGATGTCCATGTTAAAGATCTCTCTCTCTCTTCTGTCCCACAGGTGGGGGTGTGATAAACTGCCCAAAGAATGTCCAGCAGTTGGGAAGCAGTGTGTGGCTGCCCTTGACAAATGAGTGGATAAATAAGAGCACAAATAAAAGCATCCGCATTGTTGTCACCATGGCAAAATCGCCAGAAAGCAGCGTCAAGAAGAAAATAGTGTCTTTGGATCTTTCTGAAGGGGGCTCTTCACGATACATCGAGCGTGGTTATAAGTTTCACTTGGACAACCTGAACCTGGAACTCTTGGAAAGCAGGAAGGAACATGAGGGATGGTACTTTATAAGCCTGGAAGAAAATACTGCCGTCCAGCAATTTTGCGTTCAGCTCAATCTTTATGGTAATGATGGGGACTTCTCCACTCCAGACTGGAGGGTCAACATAGTTTCCTGTCCAAGAAGTTAGGCTTTTTCTCAGAAGCAAAGGGTATTCAGAATTGAAAGAAGCTTAAAAGACCATGCAGTCTGGGGATGTCAAAACTGTGCTTCATGGAAGAGGCTTCAGAGTTGATTTTTTTTTCTAATTTATGTGGATGGCAGCTCCCTAGCATTAGTTATCCTTCTTCATACTTCCCAAAAGAAAGAGGCCCTGCTGCCTGAGGGCAGAAGGACCCAGAGTCCCAGGGGTCTTGGCTTGCAAGTAAAATTTAGTAAGACTTTATTTGACCAAAAAAAAAGTTCTTTCCAGTTTGAATACAACTGATGAGACCCAAACTTTCTTTCCTACTTGAGGCCACTGAAACCCAGAGAACAGTGGTTATCACATACTTACACACCCTTGTGTAGGTGGTTCAGTGTACTAAGAGTTTTTGGAGAAGAGAGACAAAATTCAGCCCACCCACATCACTCACCAAGCCATGCCCTTTGGCATAGGGCCATACCTACTTGGAAAAGTAAAGTATCTTGTTCTTAGTTAAATGTGGGTTCTGATTATAACATCATTTAGTGGCAATGCACAAAGTAGAACTCAGGCCCACTTAATCCAAAACCAGTGGTTTTTTTGAGCCCCTTTAACTTCCAAGTGCTCTTAAAAGCACCTAGAGTTTGTGTCTCTGCAAGCTAGAGAGTCACTGGGAGTCACAGGAATTCTGATGGTCACATGGGACTTTATCACTTGTTCAAAGAAACTTCCTTGTCTCGGAAGCTCGTACACAAGGGACCCCACCCATCTCTCATGTGCTTAAAATCCTCAGGAAACTAAAGCATTTTTTTCCTTCAGATAGTGCTTTCAGAATATCCCCAGAACACCAACAGGTGAAGAATGTGTTCTATCTCTCCGGAACCCAGTTTCTTCATCTATAAAATGGGAAAATTATCATGGAGTAAAATAGTTGAGAGTATTTAAAAAGATGATGAATGTGAAACACGAGCACCATGCTTGTCCTATAGTAGATCTTAAATAAATAGGATTTTCCCTTTTCCATGGGTTACTTTATGATATTAAAGAGCAATAAGTTTAACAAAGCTGTCATCGAGAACTGCCTCAAACAGAAGTGGTTGCCACACACACATATTGTAGATGAAATATCAGTATAAAACATTCTTTGGATCTAGGGGATAATGTTTTAAGTCAGTGAAAACCCAGAGGTGATTATTTGACAGTAAAGTCCACTGGTAGCATGCAAGAGAACAACCTAAATCAAGAGCATCAGGAAGTACAAGCAGATCTCTAATGGCATTGGTAGAAGGGAGCTAAAGCTACATTATCCTCTATTTCATCCCAAGATGGTGGTGGAAAGGCTGCAGTGGGGAGTGAGAGATGGGGTGAAGTGGTTATTTCCACTGAGATGACCACACTAGAGCCCCTCAGGGAGGGAAAAGTGCTGCAATGCCTTCTAAAAAGAGATCTGGTGAGGACCCAGGGGGTTCATGTCAGTGATGGCTCCCTTCCTCCCCCTTCTGACAGAGCAGGTCTCCACTCCAGAAATTAAAGTGCTAAACAGGACCCAGGAGAGTGAGAACGGGACCTGCAACTTGATGCTGGCGTGCACAGTAGAGAAAGGGGACCATGTGGTTTACAACTGGAGTAAGAAGGAAGGCCTCCACCCACTTAACTCAGCCAACAGCTCCCAGCTTCTGCACCTCACCCTTGGCCCCCAGCATGCTGACAATATCTACAACTGCACCGTGAGCAACCCCATCAGCACCAGCTTTCAGACCTTCAACCCATGGTCCATGTGCAGGTCAGACTCATCAGGTGAGTATGCCAGTGGCGGCTAATGTGCCACAATAGTGAGTCAAGGCTCAGTCCCTACCTGGGCCAATTTCTCTCTTATTCAGTTATGACCTTCACATTGGTTACAACACTTGTCATTTTCTTTAGGTTCTGCAAAAGCCTCCCCTGTGTTCTCAGGGAGGACATGATCACCATGGCCAGCGTGACATTGTACTGTTTAGGCCAGAGTTGAAGAAACCCATGGGAAATGATGGAGCCAGATCCAGAATCTAGCTCCACAAGGAGTGATCCCGCCCCTCTGCCTCCTGTCCTAGCTCCAAATTGCAAGGATGACTGGGGGAAAACAGTGCAAGTGGTAGAGCTTGACTCTCAAGTCCATCTCTCATTAATGATGTAACAGCTCCAAACCACCAATACATTTTAGGTTGTAGGAAATCAGCAATAGATGTGCTGTGTGATCTCTGCTGTCATACAGTAATTTATAGAGATATGACTGGATAAAGAAAACAATGTAATACTACTCAGGCATATAAAAAAGAATGAAATTCTGTCTTTTGCCCTGAAATGGATGGAATTGTGCAACTGGAGACCATTATGATTAGTGAAGTAAGCCGATCAAAAACTAAGATAAATATACAAAAATCATGTAAGAATTATTTAAGAATGTGTAAGAATTAAGTGTGTGACTATAAGATAAATTGAAAGTACACTATTATAAAAACTAAAAAAAAAGAAAGCAGGGAAGAAGAGTGTTCTGAAGAAGGGAGGGATGAAAGGAAATATTGTTACCTTACACGTGTGACCAGGATATGTAGTTTCTCTTTATATTAACAGATGATAAGAAATGAAAAAAATCAAGAGACCCAGAAATAGGAAAACTGATAAAAGAAATAATTATTTTAATAAAACTGTTATAAATGTTAGAAAAGATGGGATCTGAAACATTCGTTCAGTAATAAAGCACAAGATAGAATGAACAACCTCATTTTATGGCATAAACTGAATCGCATGGCAGGTCAGGTAGCCAGAGAAATCAGAGAGAGGTAAGAATCAAGTTTGAATAATAATGATAAATTATACTGTGCTTTATGATTGAAAAACAGCACTTTCCATTGTGTAACCTCTCTTGACTCCTATAGTGCCTATAGGTCACCCAGTGCCTTTGTCAGATAGGCAGTATCTCAACCTCACTTTAAAGATGTGGAAATTGACATCCATGATGTTTTAGTACCCTCCTCAAGTTTATTCATTTTAGGAATAGTGGAGTTAGCACTGAAAGCTAGATCTTCTGTTCTTTCTCTAGAACAGAAAAAAAAAAAGCATCATTATTCTGTCACTGAAAGGAAGAAATAACTGAATAAGTTGGTCCATCTAATACTTAGAAACAGGACTGATCATGTATACTGACAGATCCTGGATCCCAGCCTTCAGGCAGGTTCAGGGACAGCAGGCCATGGTGCTGATGGCTTGGTTATGCTCTGGAATTCTCTTCTGGGTTCACTTAGAGGAAACAGGAATCACAGGGCTAGTATGGCAGTAGGCCTGGTGTCCATATGGAGGACTTTCCCAGGTTTTCTGGGATAGGGAGATGAGGAATCTAGCTAGCCAGCTTATGTTCTCAACATAGCACCTGCTGCCATGAGACTGCCCTGGATTGTTACCAGGTGGATGACTGGGAACATCATTCTTTAATGAATCTGATGCCCTGAATGGCCCCTCTCCCAACCATTATAGGGCAAGTCAGCTTCTGTATGCCCACTGGATACATCTGGCTGCTTGCAGACAAGCCATATTCAGATGTTATCTCTTCAGATCACTCTCCCTTCACAGTCTTTCAGCACATGCTAGTGGGACCAAGAGAGTGGTATTGCACAATAGGAAGTTTACAGAATGTGGCCCCTGAGGTTCTAGATCCAAGCTCTTCCACGCACAAGAGGAAGTCATTCCACTTCTCTGAGACTTAGTTTCTTCATCTAGGAATGTTGACAACCAGCATGGCTGTGAAAATCATCTCATTCTCCCAGCAACACAATGATCTTGATAGGTCAAGTAAAGCCATACGTACAACGCAATGGAGGTGGGCTGTCTGATCCTTGGATCCTTGTTGATGTTAGTGTAAGAGACAATGCACCTGAAACTTTATGAATCATAATGAAAATGTAGGTTTTATTCCTTGGGGGCAGGGGCAACAGGCGTGGAAGTGGTAGCCATGTCTCTAGCTACTGTAGCCCTATTGAAGACAGGTCATCCAGTGCTTTGCCCTGACCTACTCCTTAGAAGGAGGAGAGCTCTTGTCATGCTTCTTAATGTGGTTTCACCAGCCTTGATGAACTAACAAGCTCATACTAGGCGCACATGACTTAAGACAGTCCTAGGAAACATGTGAAGATGTTCTTCCCCTCTTTTTCTAAGCCTCTTTGAGGAGTAAGCATCCACTGGTGTGAGGCAGATTTTCTGACTTTGAGGCAGAACGACGACTATGCTATGAGATATAAAGATACAAGAAGTGGCAGTGATGTAGCACCACGGGAAGAGGCCCGTCACAATATCAACTCCATCATTAGAACTCCATGCCATGAGGCAGCTGTGTCCATCCCTCAAGGCTGTTTAATAACCTTAAAGATGAAAAGGGTGAGCTAGTGAAGTTTCTACCAGATTGATAAGCTTATGAATAATTCTCTGTGTGTGTCACACACAAAATAAACTACTAATAAAGGATTGCCAAGATGCATTAGCTGCTAGGATTGTTACCACAAAGCACTGAGAAGTGGATGGAATAGACAATTTATTGCCTAATAGTTTGGAGGTTAGAAGTCCAAGATCAATGTGTTAGATGGTTTTGTTTCTCCTGAGCCCGCTCTCCCTGACGTGCAGGTGCCGCCTTCTCACCATGCGTTCACATGACCTTTTCTTTCCTGTTCTTATAAAGATACCAGTCAAAATAGATTAGGGCCACCCTCGTGACCTAGTCTTAACTTATTCTAAAAAAAAATCTCTATCTCCAAATATAGTCACATTCTGAATTACTGGAAGTGAGAGCTTCAACCTATTAGTTTGGAGGAAGGGGCACAGTTAAGCTCCTAACACTACCCTAATGGCTTCATTTTAACTTGTCTACTTCTGTGAAGTCCCTATTTCCCAATCAGGCCACATTCTGAAGACTTCCATCTGTGGATTTGGGGGAAACACAATTCAACCTGGAACAAAACTAGAAATTCCCTGCCCTGTGGGGATGGAAGACCACACCATATGTAAACCAGATCACACAGCTACTTTACAACATGTCCTCCCAGTTCCTCATGTTGTCTAAATTACTGAGCTTTTTTACTACACTTATTTGTGTTTGCAAATGAATACCACTAATTCTTAAGGCACAGCCCTTAGTTTGATATTTATTGAGGTTTTATGTTTTAGTATGGTGCTCAGTGCTGTTACTTATACCCAAGTATAAAGAAAGCGTGATTCTTGTCCTTAGGAATGAGATAGTTCTTTTAATGATTAATTATCCTAGATTACAACACTGAGACAGGTGCAAAGCAGAAATGTGAGCAAAGTAACAAAGAGGGGGACATTATTATCACCCTATCAAGGAATCAGGGAGATTATCATATAAACTAGGGTTGAGACATGAAATAGCAATTGTCCAAGATGACAAAGACTTTTAAGCAAAAGGAAAGCAGAGCTAGCAGGGTATTGCTCTGTAGTATCCTTTAAGTGATAGAGACTAACAGTTTTAAATAAGATAACCCCATCAACTTTGTATTTCAAATCAGTAATTTGATGGTGAGAGAATAGATTGAAGTAGGAAAGAAGCAGAAAAAAAGAGAAGCTAGGGGCCTGGCATGGTAGTCCAGCAGCTAAAGTCCTCGTTGCACACACACCAAGATCCCATATGGACGCTGATTCTAATTCCAGCAGCCCCACTTCCCATCCAGCTCCCTGCTGTGGCCTGGGAAAGTAGTCGAGGTCAGCCCAAAGCTTTAGGACCCTGTATCCACATGAAAGACCCAGAAGAGGCTCGGGGCTCCTGGCTTTGGGTTGGAGCAGCTCCAGACCTTGCAGCCACTTGGGGAGTGAGTCAACGGACAGAAGATCTTCTCTGTGTCTACTCCTCTCTGTATGCCTGACTTTCTCATAAAAATAAAATGAATCTTAAAAAACAGAAAAGAAAGAGAAGCTAGTTGTGGAGGAACTTGGTTACAGTAACCCATCAAGAGATTATGAGCCCCCCAAAAAAGAACTGGTTGTTAGTCTGAAGCAGACTTTATATATATATATATATATATATTTTTTATTGGAAGCCAGGAGCTTCTTCTGGGTCTCCTACATGTGACAGATTCCCAAGGCTTTGGGTCATCCTTAACTGCTTTCTCAATCAGGAAGGGAGCTGAAAGGGAAGTGGAGCAGCCGGGACATGAACTGGTGCCCATATGTGATGCTTGTGCACGCAGGGTGAGGATTTAAGCCACTAGACTACCACATGGGGCTCTGAAGCAGACGTCTTTCATAGGGCCCTCAGCCTCCAGGAACCTTAAAGGGAATCACTAGTCTTCAGATGAAATGGTTGGATCCAGGAGCTTCTTGGAGTCTGTAATACATAATCAGACATTTATTGTCTGATTATGGACATGTATTGTCTTCATTAATGAAAACCTCATGATGTGATGAGACCAAATGTAATGCGATGTCAGCACTTTGGCACAACTCACTTAAGCTAAACCACAGAAAAACATATTTTTTTTCTTGAAATTTTTTTCATTCAAAGGTCCCTTTTCCAGGCCATTGGTCACATAGTCATCCTTGTTCCAACTGCCATTTTGGTGTTTTCAGTGAGAAACACATTAGTGTGTTTACCAATGAAGCTTCTTTACTACAAAATCCAAATCTTAGGATGCTGCAAAATGCTGTGGCTGGGTTATGTGAAGATTGTTGATGTGGGTCAATGTTGGACAGTATGGGACTTGCTGTTGTCCTTAATTGCAGTGTTCTGAAATACTTGTATCTGTGCTAGGATAGTTCATGTAAAACCTGTCATATTCAACTAGAAGGGAATGCCCCGGGAAGCTCATCTTGAAAAGGAGACCTCTTTCAGTACATTAGCAAAAAGCCAGCTCAGCAAGTCTGAGTTAACTCAGGGGAAGGAAAGGTTGACACCTGCCAGTCAGCTCTAGGGGCTCCCCCTTGCTAACAAAGCCAACAAAGCCGTTTCCTCAACCAGGGAGCTCCCATTGTTAGAGTCACCCCAATGTCCCAGGCACGGTGGGCAGCCTCACTCCACATCTTCGCAGTTTAGCAAGGGTGGAAGGATGGAACCTGGGCACTTCTCAAGATCCAGAGCCTTGTCACATGTGGTCACACCTGCTAAAGGGAACTTGAGGAATATGGTTTAGTTGGGCCGCCATGTGCCTGGACAAGACTTGTGTAACTGTGAAAGAATGAGAGAAAAATGGTACTAGCTTACAGACTGTAGCCCCTGTAACACAAGGCAATAAAGGCAGATGTAATGGATTTTTTTTTTCTGAAGCTGTGAACACCATAAAAATGTTTACTTGGATGGTTCCAGACCTTAAATGAGTACGTAGCTCATGAGCATTCTTTCCCCACCCCCAATTCTGAGTGGAAACCGCCACCAACAAGAAGACATCTCTTAAAGATGGCCGACTTCAAGGAGATGCGTTCCATGCCGGCAGAACCACATGAAAGGCAGGAAAGAGATCCGGTACTCTCAGACCGTTACGTGAGCGTCTCAGTGTCTCCTGGGTGTGAACTGCATTTGTTTCTCAAGTTCTTTTTCCCCTTTTAAAAATGAGGTTTGAAGACCAGAGGACAGGGAGGGAAGCTTTCATGTTTCTAGGGCAACAGACTTGTAGAGAAGGGCCTCTGGCGTTTTGAGTGTTTTCTTTTTTTAAGGGAGGCGGGGCTACATATTTAGTTGTCCCTTTAAACCACCACCAATTGAGGAGAGGACCATAGGGTGGAGTCTGACGTAAAGCATTCTTGGGAAGTCTCACAGGAGTTCTCAATCAACGGACACCTCTGGGAGATTCCAGTGGGCACAAGTCCCAATCTGTAGTTCCAGAGGCTTCAGGCAAATTTTCTTTGTGAATGAAGCACAATGTCCCCTCGAGACCTCAGCACCTGACCGAACAAAAAAAAAAAAAAAAGAAGAAGAAACGGAGCTTCTGCCCCCAGGAAATGGTGGTTTGAAAACAGGAGCGCATGTGATGTGTTGTGGGCACAGACACACGCTTTCCTCCTGGCTCCATTTTTTTCTTATAAAGTTTACACCTAGTAGGCCCTTGCTGCTTGTCTTTGACTCACGCCTCTCACCTGGAGTCCCCTAAGATTTGCATTTTTCCTAAGACTATTCTTCATACAGGGTATATGATAGTCTTCTACCATATCTATTCAAATGACCTCTAATTTAATTTTGTTAATAAAGTATATAGTCTATTGTGTGGGATGGATGAGTGGATAGGGCTACAAGTTAAGAATAAGATACAATAGCTGCACTCTTTAGGTGAGAAGTCCATGCCTTATCAGGCAACAAAATGTTAGGCAATTCAAGAAGCTGCTACTAGAATTCCTCTTTGGAAGAGAACAGTATTTGTCTTAGGAGAGTACTTTGATGAGTGCTTACAGGCTGAAGGTGAGACCCTCCCTCGGCCCCCCACCTGCCAAGGACCTGAGGGTGTGGGTGGTGTTGCTTATACAGAAAAGGAGGAAGGGAAGAGCTGATCCTGGTAGATGGTTTGGACTGCCTGGCACACAGTGAACTCTGTCCCCGGGACCTGGACACCTTCAGCACAGCATCTCACGGAGTTCTTGGCGCAGGCTTCTCTTGTTTTCTGTTGTTTGTGGGAACTGGTGAAAGGACTGAACCTTGAACTCAGGTTAGCACCGAGTAGGGTAGGCAGATCAAGAGAATCCCTAAGAAATTATCTCTACAAACGATAGGTAGAAGTCACCAGCATCCTAACCCCCACAAGCTGTAAAAGTAGTATTTTGCCCATGTTTATGCTGGTTCCTAAAGCCTGGAGTGCCTGACACATGATTCCCATATATATACCGTAGTCACGTTTGAGCACCAAGTAAGTGGGTGAGCACTGTGAATGGAAAAACATGGGCCTGCTGCACAGGGAGGGGAATTATGTCTTCAGCAAAAGCCAGAACAGCACTGACGCCTCTCTGGATATCAGTCAAGAGACTTCTTTGGACCTGAAATCAAATTCATCTTACTGTCTCACTCAAGCAATAGAATTTACTGAAGACCTGTTATGTGTCAAGCAATAGGAAAGCCTCCCGAGAAGGGCTGTGGCCCCCAAGGAGGTGGGGAACTGAGTCCAGCAGAAAGCGTTAATGCCTATGGAGCACAGGGCAGGTTCTGGGTGTTACTACGATGCTTCATCAAAACAACTACTCCGCTCATTTTCCAGATGAGGATGCACAGACGAGCAGTCTACCTACCTGGTTTGTGTATTGCCTTTGCATTTTTTTAATCTTAAATGAAATTTGAGAGAAATATTATCTTTTAAAATGATAATATGGTTGAATTACTTATCTTCAAATGCTCATGAGTGAAGTTCAAATTATTCAATATTTTAGAAGTTTCCAAAATTCATGTGATTAAAAACAGAAATAGTCTAGAAGAGTAAGTGCTACCACAAAAGGTTCTTCCAAAAGTTTGTGGAAGAGGATTAATTATACTATTAATTATTAAACTAAGCGTGGGTTTCAAAAATTTTGGCACCAAAATAGACCTGTTGTTTAATTCCATTCTTCCATGAACATTTTAGAGTCCCCTCCCATAACATTTGTGGGGTCAATTCCAGGAACTGAAGAAACGCTAAGGCAGCTTCAGCTGATGGGTCTGCTTATTCTTATATTTGAAAGATTTTTTCTGAGCCCTTGATATTGACTTATAAGCCTCAGTTCAGTCTCCCTCTCAGGCCCACATGTCAAAGTACAGTGGGTATTCAGCCACCATAAACCAATCAGAGTGGTCAGAGCATGCACCATTCACAGAACACCTCATCAAGGTCACAAGCAGCCTCCACAGTCACCCAAATCTCGTGCTTTGTTCTCATCTGAAAGTATTTTAGATCTCTCTGCTTGCCTCCTAACAGTATTTTTTTCTTTTATTTGTTTATTTATTCAAAAAGCAGAGTTCTAGAGGAAAAGGGTGAGAGAGAAAGGGAAACATAGAGATCTTCCATCCATTGGTTCACTCCCCAAATGGCTGCAACAGCTGAAGCTGAGCTGATCAAATCCAGGAGTCAGGAGCTTCTTTCAAGTCTCCCATGTGGATGCAGGGTCCCAAGGCTTTGAGATATCCTCTGCTGCTTCCCCAGAGCATAATCTGAAAGCTGGATGGGACGTGAAGCAGCCAGAACATAATTTGGCACTCTTACAGGATGCCCCTCTTGAAGGTGGAGAATTAGCCAATTGAGCCATCACACTGGCCCTTCTTACTCTTTAATTTGATTATACATTTACCAAGACTATTATCTGGCAAAATTAAAGCTTCTTTAATTTAGGAAAGAGAATATATAATCATAGCTTAACTAGAAAAAGAATCTTTTGAAACCTAGAAAAAAACTTTCAGTTAGTTAAGATAGAATCCCACCCAGATGGGCTGCCTTTCATCAAAGTGAGATTTCAGTCTATATTTTGGTCAGTTCTGTAAATATCTGAATTGTGTTGTGGCCATTACTCTGTTCCTTTGTGATCTACCTTTTCCTTCCTTTCAACTTCTTCCCAGCGTAGTCATCACAGCTTCAAGTTTATCCTTACTAGATAAAGTTCATATTATCATTTCATTCCATTTTTCCATGAGCTTTTTGAAGCCACTTCCATAACTCCTACACATTAATACATAATCTGGCATTATACTACTTAGAATCCGCATGCTATTGCTTCACTTAGAATGGTAGTGTTGCATATTGGCTTCCAGGATCCCTTACCCGGGAGTAACTCCCAAATCCATGTGTCTTTCTGACTCTGAGAAGTCTGTCTCTGGAATTCACCTATGTTCCTACTCCTAGATCAAACTCTGGTTCTTGAAGCTCTCTACTTCCTTACCCACAACGTGGGAGCACTGACTACATGTTGTAGGACTCTTTTGAGATTGGAGTGCATTAGTGTGTATCTAAGCCTTAAAAATAATGACCCATTGTAAGCACATAATAATCATCTACTATTATCAAGTCGAATGTCTCCACTGGGGCAAGATATCTCATTCACTGTTTCTCATTGAGCTCCTGGTTCAGTGGGGCTTGGTAAAGTGAGTGAAGGAGAGAAGGCAATAAAAATTGGCTCTCAGTGTTTCAACCTGAGTGAGCCTGGTTAATTTTAAACATGAAGATAATTGACAGGAAAGGCTACATACTTTCCTCTAAGTTCAGGTCTGGTGGGTTCAACAGTTATTTGCATGAAAGAACAATAATAGCATGATTACATTTATTTTTCAAAAGAAAAGTGGGTCTTTCTTCCTCCCAGGGTCTCATGAGAATTGTACAGTAGCATAGAGAGAGCATGTGGAGCCCTCACATTCTTTTTCACCAACATGAATGCAAGACAAGTTAGAAACTGAAAGATAGAGAGAAGCTAGGTGGAGAGATTGACTTAGGATAGGAGAAGGCTAATTTGAAAGTGGTGTTGAGGTGAAAATAAATGGATTGCCCAGAAATGGCATTATTGAAAGTAAAGAATACGAAAGTCAAGAACATTAAGCAAAATTAGGGTAGGAAAACAGATATGGAGGTCTTGGAAGACCTAGGGCTGGCCAACAGATATCTCCCTGGGGAGTGAAACCAGAACCAGAACACAGGACTCAGTCTTCCCACTTGTGTGCAGAATGTCTCTAAACTTGCTGTGTTTTTGAAATTGTCCTCTGACCTTTTTTTCAGATACAAGACGATGGGGACTATATATTGGACTGTTGTTAGGGGGCGTCGTTGTGGCCATCATGGCTCTCGAGGTGATCATACTACTATTCAGAAAAAAAGGTAGGTTCCTAACAGTAAAGAAATTCATGTCAGACTTGCTATGGTAAATAGGGGCTCTGACCCCACAAGTATAAACTTGCTGTCAACCATTTTGGATATCTGCATAAGACTGCCTTTCAAAAATGAATAACCATATCTTAAAGATCACACTTAATTTGTTCTAATTCAATATTTCTTTAACCCCTATACTAGACCAAGGTAATAGTGAGAAGAGCTAAAGGCATCTAATATCAGTGGCATTGCACAGATAGAGTCAGTTCAATATGTCTAGCACTCCACTAGTGGAGGGGTCTGGTGAAGAATCTTAACAGTACTCATTAGGGAGCAAAAATCCAAAAATTCTTTGATTTTCTTAAACAAGATTCATCAAGGTAACCCCAAACCATTAAGACTCAGTGATTCCCTTGCAATTGAAATGCCTAGAGAAAGTACCTCATGCCTTGTCCTCCAGATTACCCTCTAATTCTATATCTCAGGGAAAAACTCCCTCTGACCAAATGGGTTATTCTCAACTGCCACTGGAGTCAGAATGTCCTGTCTCAAACCAGGCCAGGTCCCTGACTTGTCTTCACACAGTGAAGATAGAACTTGATCCTTACTGATAACTGCTCTCATTCTCAAGTAGAGCAATGTTGTCTGCACACCACCTTCTTAGAAAAGCCCTTATCTCAGCACCCTGATGTTGGTTTCGCTTATATAAGAAAATCTAGAGCATAGCACAGCTACCTACTTTTGTCTCATTTCCTTCATCTAAGAGCTGGGGAGGAGCTAGAGGGAAGGGTTTGTGATTCAGATAGAAATTATATTGAGAGCCTAAGGGCATGGGGGTGGAGCAAACACATTTGGCTTATAAGGAAACTGAGACACCAAGGTTGAGAAGATAGATTGATTCACATTCCTATCAAATTTGCTGGGATCTCAACCACACTGTGCTCAAGGACAGTCCCCTCATCACCTGGATGCTCCCTAAGGGGAATAGCCCTCCTCGTCCTACAGTCCTTTAGCCTCTTCCCCAACACACATGCCCATCGTCACTTCCAGCCATTCTCTATTCCTTGTCCATCAGTAACATGCAAAACTCTGCCTCAAACCTATATTTAGTTTCTATACCATCCATAAAACTTTATTCAAGAGATTCTATTAGCAGCTTCTAAGAGTATCCACTCTAGAATATGGCCTGACTCTAACGATTTTCAAACAGACTCCTTGGCAATGTGAGGGTTAAGAACATTGGCTATAGCATTAGTCAAATTTCTATTCAGATGTAGACTTCGCCACTGATGAGCTATATGGCCAAATGTTTTCCCCAGTCATCTGCAAAGTGAGGTAATGTCATTCCATGCAGTGCTGCTCTAGGGGTTGACTGAATCAATCCATAGAAAGCAGTGCACACGGTGGCTTCTCAGGATGGATGGATCACAACACACACATGCCCACACACCTCTTAATATGAATGAGCTATAACACCAAGGTTTAAGTTCAATGGTCAACAGGGGTTTTTTCTGGAAGCAACTGGAAATAGTACCTAGAGTAGATTTCAAGTACTTGAAGCCACAACTTTCATGCTTCATCTGGAAGGATGTTAGTCAGACTACACCCTCACTAAGCTGAAATTGCCCAATGTCATACATGTGATGGATGACACAAGCTAGGATATAGATGCCCTAATCATGAAGCTCAGTCCTTTTTCCATTGGGCCTCAAGACATTGCTGATTTTGAACTGAGTTGAACCAGCCCCTGAAAACCTTCTCTTGCACTGGGAGAAATAATCTGATACTACATTGCCTTGATGTAATGGTACTTTAGAACTACAATCATCAGCCTCACCTGTTCATGTGTCTAACCATTTCAGATGTCCCCTCTTATCCTAAATGACCCAAAATAATGTGCAAGACCAAAAAAGTTTCTAAGGACTGGAGTCTGTTCTTGACTCATTTGAATCCATTGCAACACTTAATAGAGTGCTAGACAGATCATCCTACCTTTGAGAACACTCACAGATTTGAACTTGAAGGGTTTATTTCACAGAACTAATGTGTATTCCTTTTATTTTTAAAAGAGCCACATTGAACTACACTGTCCAGTGTGTTAGACACTATTCACACACTACTTTGTTTTTAGAATGTATATATTTATTTGAAAGCCAGAACTACAGAGAGAGAAAATCAGAGTGAGAAACAGAAAAACAGAGAAAGTAAGAGAGAGAATCTTTTATCTCTGATTCACTCTCTGATGACCAAAATTACTGGGGCTAAGCCAGGCTGAAGCCAGAAGCCAGGTTCCTCCTCCAGGTCTTCCACATGCGTGGAGAGATCCAGCTGAGCCAGGCTGAAGCCTGAAGCCAGAAGCCAGGATCCTCCTCCAGGTTCCCCACATGTGTGGAGGGGTGCAGGCATTCAGGCCATATCTGCTACCTCTCCTAGACCACCAAGAAGGAGCTGGATCAAACTTTCAAAGTGCTTACTTATGAGAATGAAATTGGGATGGTTAGTAGAGAAACATAATTTTTACATCATGCACTTCTAAATGCACTTTATCATCAGATTATTTTTAACATTTAAAAAGAAAAAAATCTGAACTGGCTAAAATTTAAAATGTGCAAGCTTACTAGTTGCCAGAGATGTAGACTCTGAGAAGTCTCCAGATGATGGGTTATAGAGCAACTTTGTAATTTTATCTTCCAAATAGTCCTTTGTGGATCAATGCTTCTCTGCGAATGCACCATTCCAGATATATACCATGTCCCCAAGATACAGGAAGATGAGAAAGCTGTGAGTGAAGCAGTGTGCCACTAGCTAGAGAGTGTAACAGATGTAAATACCAAGGCCTACCTCCAGAGAACTTACAGCCATTTTTGAAGAGCAGTGCCACACATAAAGCAATGGAAATTAAAATAATTGAATGAAATATCAATGAAAATAGCATCTAACACATTTTGATCCTTTTCTGTGTGCCAGATACTATTCTAAACAGTCTACGACTAGCATTTCGTTCAATTACCACAACAGACCCTTGCGGCAGGTATTTCAAGTCCCGTTTCAAAAATAAGGAACTAGGCCAACAGAGATCAAGAAACTAAACCCAATGTTAAATGTCAAATATGCAAGGGGGCATATTTGTTTCCATATTTGTTTCAGGATTTGTTTCCATGGTACTCTTGGAAATAGTGGTTATTCAATAAGGTGTTGAGATCAAAATGACTGAGCACAGAATTCGTACTGAAGATAACCACTGAGGTTTCTCTCTTCCAGGCAAAGCTAACCATTATCAATCTACAACGGGAGAGAAGAGCCTTACTATCTATGCACAAGTCCAAAAACCAGGTGTAAGTTTTATACTTTCGTTGGGACAAATCAGTCATGCTTTTTTGGGGGTTCCTGACCTGTCTGACTTTCATGGTTCAGCTTAGGTTCCAGAGAAGAAATTTGAGAAGTCAGACCAAGAGATCTACTAAAACTCTCAAAACTTCAGTGTCATGAGGGACTGTTTATTATTTGAAATATTGGGAAACACTGAATAAGCTTGTGTTTCTTCTGAGGAACAAAATGAGGAAGCCGCCAACACATGATGTATGAGTCTTTCCAGCTGTTTCCTGGACATCCACAGTTTCGTGCCATCAAACCCATCATGTAGTGTGTTTGCCAACTTCATGTTTAAGTACTTGCAAAGTGCAAAGGGGATAAGGAAGGGGGTAGTGGAGCTTGAGATGTCTGAGTACAGTGTGGCTGAAGAGATGGAAGTTACTGTGCAAATTGGAGATGGAAGGCAGCAAAATGATGACAGTCATCAGACAGACAAGAAATATGGGGAAACTGGAGACATGATGAGATTGAGGAGTGGATGTGTTGCAAGCAAGGATAGGAAGACTTAAGGGACTGATGCTGGATATAGCTTTTCAGACATGAAAGTAATTCTGGATGAATGTACAGGTCAGAATCTGGCAATTTGGAATGTGAGAAGTGAATTCTAGAATAAAGGATTTGAAGCGAAACATAGCTATGATAAGTACCTTGTAAAATTGCAACAGACAACCAAAAAAAGAGCATTTCCAAGCACCAAGACTTGGATTCAGAAAAAGCTTTTATCTATGCTGCTCTCTAGTGGACTGGAGGGTTTATTACACAATCCATTTTCCCCTGCTAAAAACCAAACTTTATTTAAACATGTGTTTGAAGAGTAAGCTCTCACTCTTGCACTTTTGAATTTATGGTATCATTTTTTGCTAACATAAAAATTCATTTTTATTATAATGTTTGGCTATCTACTTGTTATGACATATGTGCAAAAATAATACAACATGTAAATGTCAGTTCTTTTGTCTTCAAGGGTCTTGAAACTATTCTTATCCATTTGTGTTTTCATGTGTATTACAGCTTGTCAAGTACTACAGAAAGGAAAAATCCTAGTAAGATTTTATTGAACTCACAGATCTATTTCAGAAAGAAATGATACCTTTCAAAAAAAAAAAGGAGTCTTCCAATTAATGTAACTGCCATCCAGATTAAGAGAAAATGTTGCAGTAGCTCCAGAATTCCTGTGCTGCCTCCCAAGCCTTACTCCCTCTCTTCTCTCCAAGGAGGAGCACAATCTTGACTTCTATATACTGCAGTTTCTCTCCATTTTATTTTTTAACTATAAAATGGAATTCTTTTTTATTTTCATCTCGTATCTGGCTTCTTGTGCTGAATATTACCCTTATGAGAGTCATCCATGTTTTTGAACTTGGATGTAATTTGTTCATTTTCAGTGCTTTGTAGATCAGCAGTGTTTGACTATACGAGGGTTTACTTAGGTGTCTATCTTATTTGAACGACACACACACAAAGAGAGAGAAAGAAGGAGATCATCTGCTGCAGGGACTGGAGCTGGGTTGATCTGAAGCCAGGGACCAGAAGCCTCTTTCAGATTTCTCATGTGAATTGCATGGGCCCAAGCAGATGGGCCATCCCATGCTGCTTTCCCAGGCACATTAGCATGGAGCTAGATTGGAAGTGGGACCAGGACTCAAACCAGAACCCATATGAGATTCTGGTGCCACAGATAGTGGCTTTATTCACTGTGCCACAGTGCCAGCCCCTGCAGGTGACTACTGAGAGGCATTTGGGATATTTCCAGTTTGGGATAATTATTAAAGTTGTATATATGAAAATTCATATTCATGTCCTTGTTAGACACACGCATATATTTTTATAATTTTACTGTATATAATTCTATAGTTTTGCTACACAGTAGAAGCAGAACTGACAAGTCATAGAGTATGTATAGCTTCAAGCTGATTAGGTAAGGATAAACGTTTTAAAAATGGGCCTACAAACTTACTTTTCAATCAGCTACATGCAAAGGGTTAATTCGCTATGCATCCTAACCAAAACTTGGTATTATTGGTAGGATGTTCTCATGTGATTTTATTTTGCATCTCCCTATTTATTAATGAAGTTCAACAACTTTTCATCTGTTATTTCATCATATTAAAATATTTTCTTATAATGTCCGTTAAAGCTCTTACCCATTTGCCGTTGAGTTTAATAATTTTTAAACGGGTAAGTATAAGCTTTCGGTTTTGAGTATGAGACCTTTATGAATTGCATAGCTAGGAAATACCTGCACCCATCTGTGAGTTGCTTTTGAAATTTCTTAATATATTCATAAAGAGAAGTTTCTAATAAGTATATGGCTTCTCCCTTTATTATTACCGTTTTCTTTGAGAAATCTTTCATTTTTCTTACTTAATGAAAATATTCTATAGTCTTTTTTGTAAGATGCATTTGATTTGTTTGAAAGGCAGAGAGAGAGAGAGAGAAAGAGAAAGATCTTCTATCTGCTGATTCACTCTTCAAAGGGCCACAAAGACTGGGAGTGGGCCAGCCTGAAGTCAGGAGCCAGGATCTTATTCTAGGTCTCCCACACAGGTACAGGTGCCCAAATACTTATGCCATCCTGTGATGCTTTCCTTAGGCACATTACCAGGGAGCTGGACCAGAAGTGGCGCATCTGGGTCACATACCAGTGCTTCTATGGGATGCCAGCGCCACATAGCACGTGCTTAGTGTGCTATGTCACATTGATCCTTACTACATCATCTAAAAGTTGTATGATTGAGAGTGTAAAAAGTATCAAAATTCATGTTTTTCCATGTGAATATCCAATTGACAATTAATTGAAAATACTGTCCTTACCCTATCTGCAGAATCATTTTTTAAACAAAGATATATTTATTTTCATTTGATAAATCAGATTTTTTTACAGAGAGAGAGGACAAAGAGGCGAGATCTTTCATCTGCTGACTCACTCCACATATGGTGCAACAGCTAGAGCTAAGCTGAGCTGAAACTAAGATACAGGATCTTCTGGGTATCCCACATAGGTACAGGGTCCCAAGGACTTGGGCCACCCTCCAATGTACTCCCAGGACATAATCAGGGAGCTGGATCAGGACATGAAGCAGCACCCATATGGGATTCCAGCACCATAGGGTGGAGGATTGCCATTCCGTGTCATTGTACCAGCTCCCAGAATCATCTTTTTCATAATTCTTCAAGTGTCCACTTTCCTGTGTATCTCTGTGCTATCACATTGACATATTTATTTGTTTGTCATGCTGTCTCCATTACAGATATATTGTGAATTTTAGTATCTGAAAAAAACTAACATTTACATTGGTCCTTCTCTCCAGGAGTTCTTGGCTCTTTGGGTCTTTTGTATTTTCATATGTATTTTAGAATCAGTTTGTCAAGTCCTCACTCATTCAGTCCTGCTAGAATTTTTAGACTGTTTTGAGGAAAACAAACATCTTTGTAATATTGAGTCTTTCAATTCAGAAAACATAATATATCCTTTTCTTTACTTAGATTAACTTTAGTTTGTCAAAATTGTATTTTGTAGCTTTACATATGAGGACCTGTACATAGTTCATAACTCTTGAATTTGACATTGGAAAACACTATCATCCTATTACTTTTTTAGGACATTTAGAAAGACAATTATTTTCATATTAGCACTAAATCTCCTGAACTTATTTATAAGATCTCATCATTTATCTACAGCTGATTTGGATATTCTCTCTACACAACTATACCATCTGTTTATAAAGTTAGTTTTATGTGTTCGTTTGCAATTCATGTAGCTTCATATGTTTTTGCTTGTCCTGTGTTACTGGCTGAGAAGCCCCACATGGTGGTGAATGGACGAGATGATAACTGGCATCCTTATACACTCACAAAATCAAAAAGCAAATTTTTATACCCTACCACTAAGTATGAATTTTGCTGAAGTTTTTTATTGTGACCCTCTCTATCATGTTAAGGAAAAGTATCTTCTATTCCTATTTTGCTAAAGCATTTTCTCATTACTTAATGTTGAATTTTATCAACACTTTTTTAGCAACTGTAAAAATAATCCTGTGCTTCATTTTTACTACTGTTGCCAACTACTGCAATTTGCAAGAGTTAAACCACCTTTACATTCTTGGCATTGAAGACTGAGTGATCCTTTGCAACACTGTTGGATTTTAACATGCTACTGTTTTAGGGCTTTTTAAAAAACCTTGCAATCTTGAACTAAATTGGCCTCTAATTCATGTAATGTCTTTGTGAGATTTTGACAGGATAATACTAAACTCACAAAATGAGTCGAGATACATGTTAATTTCCTAGAGCTGCCATCACCAATCTATTCTTTAACCATTATGGAGCTCAGAAGTCATACTCAGTGTTAGGCTAGCAAGACCAATCCCTCCTTTTAGGCTCTAGGGAAGAATCCTCTGCCTCTTGCAGCTCTTCAGCCCATCGGGCATGTCTTGTTTCCGCCTTCCTCTTCATGGATGCCATGATTCAATCCACTATGAGGTATGGTTTCTTGTTTTTCTTTTTTTATACTAACAATGGACAACTCAAAAAAGTTGCCTTCTTTATTTTTTTTTCAATTTTACTTCTTTTTATTATTATCATTTTATGATACAGTTCCATAGGCCTTGACATTTCCCTTAGCCTCTCTCCAATTCCTTCACCACTGAGTTCCTCTATATCTTTACTATAGTATAGTTCTTCATACACAGTCATATGTTCATTATTGCAGGCATGGACAATGGCAGAGAGTCCAGCATCCTATTGTCAAGATATAGTAAACAGTTTCACTGGGAGTCCATCTTTGTCTGGAAGTAGAGATGCATGCTGCATTGTATCCTCACATCTGGATAGGATAGTCTCCATTTCACAGTTACTACACATCCTCTTAAATGAAAAGCCAAAATACAAAAATCAACAACAGACAGGAAAATATAAATTTTTAACTCCGTGAAGTTAAGTAACATGATACCGAATGCCTAATATGTTGCTGAAGAAATGAAAAAGAAAATAAAAAACCTTCTAGATGAAAATGATGCTTCTGTATGATCTATGGTTCTTTGAAGAATTTAATCAGAAGAAAAATGTTTTAAAGAGATGAAACTAACAAAAAAAGTAAAAATCTGTGAGACGCAGTTTCCACTGATCTTTGTTGGTGAAATGTATCTCCTGTAGGCAACAAATAGATGGGTTTTCATTTTTAATCCAGTCTATTCATCCAAGACTTTTGATTGATGCGTTTAAGCCATTTACATTCAGGGTTAATACAAATAAGTGGTAGCTTGGTTCAGTCAATTTGGCAATGGGTTGTTCATTGATTTAATCTTCCGTTATTATTTTATTGAGATGTTCTTCCCATTTGCTTTTGGTTTTGGTGGGCGCTATTCCTTTTCTCTGCTGAGAGAATATCTTTAAATATCATTTGTAGTGCAGGTTTGAAAGAGGCATATTCTTGTAACTTTTCTTTATTGTGGAAGAAATTTATTTCATTTTCAAAGCCAAAGGAAACTTTTGCTGGATATGTTATCCTGCCCCAACAAGTTTTTGCTTTTAGAATCTGGAATATGTCACCACATCTTCTTCTGGCCTGTAGAGTTTCCTCTGAGAGGTCTCCTGTGAATTTAATTGGCATTCCTTTATATGTCAGTTGATTTTTTTTTTTAGGTGCACATGAAGAATCTTTTCCTTTTGTTTGATTGAAGAGAGCTTGATTAGCATTGTGTCATTGTGTCTTGGTGAATGTCGCCTTTGGTCAACCCTGTTGGGAGTTCTGTGCCCCACCCTTATTCTGTTTCCCAATTCATTTCCCAGGTTAGGGAAATTTTCCTTATGATTTCATTAAATGCAGTTTTAAACCCAATTTTTATTTCTGCACTTTCTGGGACTCCCACAACTCTTATATTTGGCCTTTTAGTAAAGTCTCTCAATTCTTGAATACTTTTTTTTTTGGCCTGACCCAGCTCTGCTTCCAGCTTTTTGTTTGTTTCCTCCTGGTGACAGGAAATAGCTTCTAACTTTGAGATTCTTTCTTCTGCCTCCTTCCTTCTATTTTGGAGACTCTCCACTGTAGTTTTGATTTGCTCCACTGTATTCTTCATTTCTGATAGATCAGCCTTCATTTCATTCATTTCAAGTATGAGATATTCCTTAAATTCCTTGAATGCCTGCTTTACGTGCTTCTCGTTGTTGATAAGAAGTTTTATAACAAGTGTTTTCTGCATCCCCCATTTTCTCAATGTCTTCCTCAATAAACTCTGAAGTTGGCAAAGGGTTTTGTTCCTTGGCAGGGGAGTCTTCAGTCATATTCATTGTGCCTCTGTCTCTTCTTTTGCTCTTGGTCATTGTACTTCTGGTTAGCAAATTCTTCTCCTTGGGGCAGGTTTCTAAGCTGTGTCACCCACAGGTCTACAGTTTGATTTTACTTATTGCAGTTGGTACATGACTCTTTGTTGGCAGTCACTTGTGCCTCTCCCTCCAGCGAGTTCCAGGTCTGGGTTCCTATATTCGATTTCCACCATGGTCTCTGTAGCCCCAGCTCCTGGCTCACCAGTCTCCACCTCCTATGATACCATACTGAGGCTGCACTATTGCCTGTAACTTTTCTCCCACTTCCAGTTGGAGCAGGTCCCATGATTAGGGAGACACCAGGTGTCCTTTATAGCTACATTGTTGGTGGTGCTGATCTTGGCAGAACCTGTGGGCTGTTAGGTCTGAGGGCCACTCAGACCTACTTTGACCATATAATGCCAAAGTCATTATTATTTTCCTGTGGGACCAGTGCAATGCACTGAGCTCAGTAAGTTCTCGCCAAGCTCAGCACATGCGCAGCTTCACTGTTGTCCCCTGCTACCTTAAGTTCTTTTCCACACTGCACAAAATGTCACCTGATATGCCACTACTAAGAGTTCTTGATCCACTGGCTATCAGGTCTGAGAGCTACCCGGACCTGTCTTGGGTGGAACCTGTAGGATTCTACATGGTTGCAGTTCGCTGAGTCAGAAATGAGTTCACTCCCAGCTCAGTGCATGTGCAGTCCTGCCCAATAGCCCTTGCCTCCTTCAACAAAATGGCGCCGAATTCAGCTGTAGGAGATAGACTGGACTGTGAAATCCATCCTGTTCCTGTACTGACTATCTGGGATCTTCCTCTCTGTCTTGTTCCTGGTCAAATCACATAGATCAGCAGGATGGGCAGTTATTTGTCTGGGTTCACCTACAGAGCTCCTGGTAAATGTCCCTTCCCACCTTATTGCTGGTGGAGTTCTGGCTGCTGGTGGAGTTCAGATTGCCGTTTGCTGAACACAGCTGGGGTATCAGTCACTGCAACACCACTCCATTGTGTCTGCTGCTTTCCTGTGTCTGTCAGTCTCCAGGTACCCCTCTGCTGTTGTTCTGTCCTTTCCTATTTTCTGGAATGTGTCCTCTCTGCTTCACACTGGCTAATATTTGTCAGTCCATTTAAACGTGTCCTTACCCTATTCTGCCATTTGGATTCTCCTCCTTCTTGTTATTCTATAACAATGCATGTGTCAGATGGACCTTATTTTCCCCCCTTACATGTTCTCAGAAATCATTACTGCAGCTGAGACTAAGGGGTTTAGGGAGAGAGTGGTATTTCATTTTATTTTTATTATACCATCTTTTCAGTCAGTAATTGATTGCCTCTTCTCTACTCTGTCCTTGAAATTTAAAAATGCATCATAGATTTACAGTTTATTATTTATTCATTCTTAGACAGCACTTTAACCCCATTATTATTTTACTTTCTGATTTCTGCACATTTGGGGATTTGTTTTAATTTTACATGTACTTAAGCAGACAAGACATATTATTATTTTTTGCTACATTAATATGCTCTTAGACTTACCCACATACTTACAATTTCCTTTGTTAATAGATATAGACTTCATTTATACTGTCAAGAAACAACAGGGTTTTTCCCCCTACTTCCTAGTTGTTGAATTCTTTACCTAATGGAATGTTAACCTGTGATTGCAGAGTGAACTGAAAGTATCTCATTGTAAAAACTTAAAAAGAAAAAATTAAGAAGGGCAATGGTTAGGGAACTCAGGTAGAAGGGAAGGTATGGTAGAAAATAATACTATGCCCTTAATCTGTATTGTGAAATACATGAAACTTGCTGACTTTATATGAACAACCTAAGTTATCTGAGTGCCTGATTCAAGTCCTAGTTCCTCTACTTCCCTGAGAGGCAGCAGGTAATGGTGCAAGTACGAGGGTCCCTCTCACTCATATGGGAAACCTAGAATGAGTCCTTCAGCCTACCCCAACTCTGCTAATGCAGATTGGGAAACCTAGAATGAGTCCTTCAGCCTAACCCAACTCTGGCTAATGCAGACATTTGGGTCATGAGCCAGCAGACATTTGGGTCATGATTCTCTCTCTCGCTCTCTCTCTCTCTCTCTCTCTCTCTCTCTCTCTCTCACACACACACACACACACACACACACACACAGTGCTGGTGCACTTTCAAAAACTTTCAGCTAATATATGATGATGTTATTTTGAACAAATTACTGACAAAGTCAGTATTCGTGCAAGATGGAAATAGTAAAACTTATCACGAGTAAATCTTCATTTCAACACACTATTGATTGGCTAATACTTCTTTTCACTGTCTCTGGATACACAGCCTGACTTGAAAGCACAGCCCATGTGTTAAAAAGGGAGAGAGCTTGGAATCTCATCATCTGTTGCAGGAGTTAAGGGACAAGAAAACTGTTGAATTATCTGTATGAATTATCTTTAAATACCTGATGAATTTTAGGTACAGGATAGGTCACTAAAAGCTTAGGTAACCAAAGAATTGTGCTGGAAATAGCCTGCTCTTTAAGTTAAAGGACATTGGTGGGATTCCTGGCAGTGGCACTTCTTGCTTTGTACATTAGGAAAGTACTTGATCTTTCTGAGCTTCCTCCTGGTCTTCTGTCAAATGTGAGTAGAAACTGTGTCGAACATACAGAATGGTTGTTGCACAAAGGTGAAGACAAGAGTTAGAGTGAGTAATAGGACCAGCGGCTGGAATGAGCTCTTCACGTAGAGGGAGACATGAGAGCATGACAGATTTGATTCTGCTAAAATTCTGGCCATCTAGCTGCTCCTGGAAGAACCGCATCATTTTGATTTTCTGTGATGAAGATTTTAAAATACTTGGAAAGCACTAAAGAGCTCTACCTTGGGAGGCTCTGGGCTCCAAGACATCACATGAGGAGTTCAGGCAAAGACAGCAGAACTGAGTTCCAGAGGCACTGCAGAATTCATACAGGGATAGAGTTGAACCAGTTGAATCTGAGATGCTTTCTAACTTAAGTCTTCATGAATCTGTTTCTTCATGGAAGAGTAGGGTGGGAATTATCCATCTGATCAGCTAATCTTCTTTCTTTGCTTCTGTTATAGCCTCCTGAGAAGACACCTGAGACCCTACCAACCCAGGACCCCTGTACCACCATTTATGTGGCTGCCTCAGATCCTGTGCCAGAGTCTGTTCAGGTTAGGCATCTTTCTGTGTCTCTTCTCTGCAGCATGTGAATCAATGGATAAGAAGACGAAGAGGAAGGTTTTATTTTGTGGTGTTAAAGTCAAACAACTTGATCAGTCCTAGACTGGGAAAGGTAGACCACAGCAATCAGACAGCAAGCAGTACCTGTAGCTTTGCCATGCTCCCGTAAAAGAGCCTTTGCACCTGCTGACATAAGGAAAGCCAAGGCTCTCTCCCTTTTGGCTCTGAGAGTCGTCCAAGGAACACACCAGAATTAGCTGCCATACTTGCTCAAAGACCCCTGGAGCCTTCCACCTAAAAGGACATGGTTAAATCACAGTGTCTGTGGTGAGTACCCAGGCAACTACACACTTAAAAAAAAGAAGAAAAAGGAAAAAACATACCCCAGGTGATGCTGACACACTTCAATCCAGAAATTGCTGCAGGAATTCTGAGTCCAGCTGCAGAATTGAATCATCATGGGAGCTCTATAAAAGGCCTGTATCATGACTCCATCTAGTCAATTGACTGAGGATATTTGAGGTGGGGCTTGCATAAGGGTCCCCAGAGATATGTACAACTCAAAAAACTCACTTCTCCCTTGCAGAAAAATTGCTATGTATTAGATATTTCTGACAGGAATCATTCCTTTACTAAGTGAGCAGGAATACATCTGGGCTGAAATGTTCATTTAACACAGACTCTACTAAACAAAGCGATTCAAAAGTGAGCCCAAGATGTCTACATTAGCCTTCTTCTTCAAAGCTCTTTGACACACATGCTCAGATATGCCTGGGTGGATTTCCTAGATAAAACAGACCTGCTGAGAGAGAACTAAAATATAAATCTGACTTTAAAACTTCTATAAAAAAATCATAGATCATTAATATGATTTACTTGCGATGAAAAACTCTATTTCACATTGTACACTAAAACCTCCAAATTCCCCCATTCCCTCTCCTTCTTTCTCTGACTCTCCTTGCTCTGTGAGAGATCTTTCCCAGGGCCCTCTTCTCCCCTGCCTCCTGCTCTCCTGCTGGTTCCACACCCCCACCCCACCTTTGGAGCATTCTAGCCAGATTTAAAATATCAATAGTTTAAAATTCTCTTGGCTTCTCTGGATTACGCTCCATGTTTACCAACAACAAAATTCGTCCTTGCAAGGGAAGGGGAATGAGGAAGGTTACATGGACATGAGACAGGATGCCCATCCTCAGGTCCATGGGAGCCGGTCTCCCAGACAGCCTGCTTCTGCTCAGAAGAGGCTGAGCCCATTGTCCAGGTGGGACAGAGAAGTGGGGCCCAAGTGTTGCCTCAGCAAAGGACAGATCCTAAAGGAGTCACTCTGAGACTTGTTTGCTAAGACCCTTTCATTTTTCTAGGCAGTGCTGTTTCCAGTGACCATCTGTCTATAAAGCCAGGGCTCCATCCCTCCACTCACAAACTTATTCTGTTTTACCCACAGGAACCGAATCCCATCACAGTCTATGCCAGTGTGACACTTCCAGAGAGCTGACACCATAGACTCGGTAAAGGGACTCTCTAAAGGAACATGGAAGAATCAATTCAAACACTGAGCCTGGGCTCAGGCTCCAGACTCCTCATGACACTCTACATGTCTCCACCCTGCTTGGATCCTCCACCCTTCTTGGATCGACCTCCAGGTGGCGTTTCTTCCATGGACACTATGAAATGGACAAGGAAGTGAGGCATTTCACACACTCTGCTATGGACCTGGACACAAGACAAAGCTACTAGTAAGCTTTCAATCTTTGCAGTGTAGCAGATGGAATGGATAATGTGAGTCCAGACTTGTGGACATTTTATTCTCTGATAAGACTGCAGTACAAAAACTAATGTCAGAACACAAAGACAGCTAGTATTTATTTCAGGAAGCTGACGTCCCTTCTCAAAGTCTGGATGAGTTTATGGTTTGACTGTTTCTACTTTGTTCTGGAAGCTGGTCTTCATCGCCTGCATACCTGATCAAAGCTCTGTGCCTCAGTTTCACTCTCAGGATGAAGGACGCATGAAGAATGAAACGGGAATGCTTTAGGATACATAAAACACTCCCAGGTTATTCTGTAAAAGAAGCTAATAGAATCAGTATTTTATTTGCAAGATCCAGAAACTCAAAAAAATCAATAAACGGGACAAAAGACTTTGAAGTTTCTGGAAGTCACCTAAGACTGGAAAGAACAGTCCTGCGCAAACAGTATGTTCTTGTAAGGAAAAGAGGAAAAGCGGCAAGTGCTTGGTAATGCTGTTACAAAGGAATCTGGCATACTCAACTTGTCCCAGGGTGATTTTTCACTTCCCCAAAATGACCTTTCAATACTGGTTATTTGTTTACTTCCTTGAGCAACAAACCTGGGGTCTGAACTAAGACTTTCTGCACCCTCGTTCTGAACCCACTTCACAGTCTGGACCTTGTGCAGGTCTGGGTGTCCACGAGGCGCTTCCTATTCCCAAAATACCTCTCTTTGCACTAACTTTGTCTTTGAGTAATAATTAAATTATTTTGGCCCGACTTCAGCCGACTGCTTACTCATTCACTTCGGTTACAGGCTACAGAGGGGGAGGTGTTCTTTTCAGTAAAGTCCCATTTTCTTGCAACTCTCTACTTTCTTGTGAGTTGTCTTTATTTAAGCTCTTCTTTTTCTTGGCTCCCACATAACTTTGATGAACACTTTGATAGCCAACTGCAGTACCACTGTGTAACTTGAGGAAACAGTTTCCCAGTTCAATTTTCTTTTTTTTGTTAAAGATTTATTTTTATTATTTTTTCATTGGAAAGGTGGATATACAGAGAGGAGGAGAGACAGAGAGGAAGATCTTCCGTCCGATGATTCACTCCCCAAGTGGCTGCAACGGGTCGATGCTATGCCGATCCAAAGCCAGGAGCCTCTTCCGGGTCTCCCACGCGGGTGCAGGTTCCCAAAGCCTTGGGCCGTCCTCGATCGCTTTCCCAGGACACAGGCAGGGAGCTGGAAGGGAAGCGGGGCTGCCAGGATTAGAACCGGCGCCCATATGGGATCCCGGGCGTGCAAGGTGAGGACCTTTAACCACTTGCGCCACCGCGCCAGGCCCAGTTTTCTGAGGGTCCCCATAGCCTTCAATCTCCCCTTTCCCACTCCGTCCACTTACCTTCTGGATTCTTTTCCTTAGTAGTACCATGCCATTCTCTCACCCAAACTTCTGATGTAGGGATTTTAATTGTAATCAGCAGGAACTAAGCTTGTTTTACATTTAAAAAAAGAAAAAGAACCTGTTGAAAAGACATTGGCTATGTAACTGTGAGAGACTTAAAGAAAAATCATGGCTTAAAAATGAACAGAGAGAATGGGAGACCAGGTTGTGGCTAGAACCACAGCTAAAATTACAAAACTAATTTAAGCACTACTCAGGACACTCAGTGGACTGGCCACTGGCTAGATATGGACTCGCTGCCTGGGCTAGACTGGAAAGCCCGCCTCACTGCCGTGGCTGTGATGTTGCCAGGGTCCTCTTAGCTTCTTTGCATCTCTAGCTTTTAAAGCAAATATGGACTTGAGATACTAATCCTAGTTGCACGTCCAAGTGCAACCTGCAAGAAAGACTGGGAATTGACTATGTAGTGGTTGATGGGCTCTGTCTTTGAGCTAACAGGATTCAGACAAATACAAGAAACGGGGTTCAGGTGGTTTTCAAGAAAAATGTCCACCACACCAGCCTTGGGTAACCTTAGACTGTGAAACATGTGTTCTCCAAGTATGCAGCCTCTGACCCGAGAGCGTGAGCATCCAACTACCTACCACGGCTCAGGTTGCTAAAGGCTCAACTCTTACCACTGGGCTTTTCCCATGTTTAAGTTCTACCGGATGGAAAGGTAGAAACAAAAAAAAAGATGAAATCCTGCAAAACTGCCTGAATACCTGGGTTCAAGGCTTCACAGCAGACCCAACTGTGTCTCAGTACAGAGACTTTCTGCTCTCCACTAAACAGCACTTGACATTATGGCCCACGCCTCCCGGGCCCCTGAGGTCCCATGCAGCGAAGCAGAGAAATCCTGCCGAGATACCACTCCGCAGTGCTCTCACATGATGCAGTGTGCGAGCTGAACTTGCCTTCCCCCTACGCCTGAAAAAGCAAAACTGAGACTTCAGAGGCAGGATTCCCCGTGTCCCTCCCATGATGTTTCTTTTGACCAAACCTATCTGAGTTCTGGAGAAGTCAGGAGGAACAGAGTGATTCTCGGTTTTCAGAGACTGAGGTTCTGAAATACAACAGGGCATTGTGCCAGGCCCCTTAGCCACCTACTTCAGTCACATGTCCAAGATCTGATTACTCTAGGAGGCACAGGCTGGCTGATAAGCCAAGGTGAATTGATTCTGCTCCTGTGGTGTGGGTTCCTACTTCTTGGAAATGAAGAAAAGATAGCCAATTCGTGAGATAATTGCTGGAGGATCTATAACAAGGCAAGGTGGCCAGCTGTGTTCCACTGCCTTGTAAGGAAACGCTGGTGACAGCTGCTTTGAATGGATGAGCTGAAGGCTTGCCGTTACCTAGGGGATAGCTCAGTGCCTCTGCTCACCAGAATTCAGGGAACCACCCCCCAGGCAGAGGAGAACCACACTTAAGGACTTAGCTTTGCTCACCACCAGAGTAATCCCCTTCTCTGAACTTCCCTCAAATTCCCCTTGAAGAGAAATCTAGATCCTATTTCTCGAACGTAGACTACTGACATCATGGCCTGAGCAAGTCTTTGCTGGGGGCAGGAGACTCATGGCTGTCGTGTGCATTGTAGGATACTGAGCAGCATCTCTGATCTTGCCTACTAGACACTAAAAAATACCCCCAATCGTATATCAGAACAATCAAAAATGTCTGCAGACATTCTCACACATTCCCTGGTGAGAAAAATCTTCCCCATTTGAGAGCCGCTGATCTAGAGATATGCTGGCACCTAGGTTAGCATATCTCTGGTAGACCAAATGCACTCCCACACTTCAAGTACTTGTAAAGCTACCAAAAATCATACTGTGGAAGTGGTTTCCTGATTGCTTAAGCCTGGTGCCGAGCTGCTAACATTTCCCACCCCACCCCAAGTTATCTAAACGTTCGAGTGACCAGGTTGTGGTGAGCATTTGGCACAGCAGTTAAGGTAGTCCTTGACATGCACACTTCCTGTATCACAGTAGAGTGCCTAGAGTTGAGTTCCAGCTCTGCCCCCAATTCTGGCTCATGCTAATGCACACTGGGATGCAGCTGGTGATGGCTCCCAGCCGCCCACATGGGAAATCCAGAGGGAATTCCTGCTTCTCCGCTTCAGCGTGGCCAAGTGTCAGCTGTTGAAAAATATGGGGAGTGGACCCTCAAATAGACGATCTCTCTCTCTCTCTCTCTCTCTACCCCTCTTCCTTACTAATTTCCTCCCTCTCTCAATCTGCGTTTCAGATAACTAAAACACATTTTTTTAAAGATTTATTTTATTTTCATTGGAAAGGCGGATATACAGAGAGGAGAGACAGAGAGGAAGATCTTCCATCCGATGATTCACTCCCCAAGTGAGCGCAACGGCCGATGCTATGCCGATCCAAAGCCAGGAGCCTCTTCTGGGTCTCCCACGTGGGTGCAGGGTCCCAAAGCTTTGGGCCGTCCTCGACTGCTCTCCCGGGCCACAGGCAGGGAGCTAGATGGGAAGCGGGGCTGCCGGGATTAGAACCGGCGCCCATACGGGATCCCGGGCATGCAAGGCGAGGACCTTAACCACTGCGCCACCGCACCAAGCCCTAAAACACATTTTTAAATATAAATTAGATGTTGATTTCCAAACCCTGCCTCAAACCCAAAGGAAATCTGCATTGAGATTAATAGAAGCCTCATCCTACAGGCTCTAAAGCAGCACTTCTTTGTTCAGTACCACAGGGTAGCCACAAGGGGGTGATGTAGCATATAGATAAAGGCAAAAGAAGATTGATGACAACTCTGTTTTCCTGTTATTTCCAACATACTTACAAGAGTTAAAGGTGGAATTCAATTTAAAAATATGTCCTTCAGGAAAAAATTCCAGACATTTGGTACTATAGGTGGAACCAAAAAACTAATGAAACTGTGCTTATTCGCTAAAATGGTCTTGATGTCCAGATGATTAATTATATAAATTAGTTTAATATACAAATAGCAAACATACTTAATTTTATTTTTACAATAATAAGGATAAATGTCATGTTTGATTTTAGAAATTATTTTCTCTTTAAAAAATGTTTTAATGAGGGCCCGGCATGGTGGCCTAGTGGTTAAAGTCCTCGCCTTGAATGTACCAGAATCCCACATGGGTGCCAGTTCTAATCCCGGGAGCCCCACCTCTAGATCCTTCCCTTCTGCCCCCCCTTCTAGATCTCTTGATTAGCATAGGCTCAATGGGGACAGCCAAGACAGTAGGAATAATAGAAGGCCCTTTTGCAAGACGCTATCACCGACATTAACCTTCAAGCTCACACTGAGCAAAAGGCCAGCCCCACAGTAGCAAACAATGCCTGGATGGATTAGAGTTCCGCAGGGTGGTCCGATGTCCATGCAAAAGAAGGTGGAGTTGCATTCAGGTGGTTGTAGAGACGTCCACCGGGCGGGTCCTGCCAAAGAGCGGGAAATTCCTTGCGGCCCTGCCTGCAATGGAACAACACTCTTCACCCCTTCATGTCCCCCACATCTACTGCACGGACCCCAACAGCTGCTGTTCTCTTCAGAATCCTGTTTGATTCCCATGTGATTCCATCTCTTCTTTTGTCTTTTCTCTAAGCATAAATATAACATAAATAAAATGCTTACAATAACTCGATACACAATCAAAGAATGTCATTACTTTTTCAGCGGTATCGGTCTCTAATATCAGATCACTGCATTTTTTAAGCATGCATAGTTTAACAGTGATCTTATTATTTTAAATTAATTGTCTCCAAATCATGTTTTTAAAACCTCAAAAGAAAAAAAAAGGAAGAGATCAAGAAAAATTAGATTTTTTTAAAGTAATTTTATTAGTCATCACAATACAGTTCCATGGGCTCAGGGATTTCCTCTTTCATCCTCTCCGTTGCCCCATCCCAACCCCCAACATCAGATTTTGTTTGGAATCTGATCCTCTCCCTGTTTGTTGAAGATACAGATTCATTGCTTAGACTTGATTCTGAGCAAATAATGAAGAGACGAGGAGGCCTCAGTTTTCTCCAGGTGCTGAAAGAATGCTGACAAACCTTACTTGGTATTTTACACTTTATTCATTAAAAAAAAAAACTGGTAACACATGACTTCAAAATATGTTTCCATGTATTGATACAGAAAGTGTTCCTTTGGTGCAGGTTGCATATTGTAACATCAAAATTGCTTCATAATGTAACCCTTCCCCTGATCTATGTCTCGCTGGGGTACCCACATGCTGGTGTTTTTGTAGTAGCTACAACATTGACAGTCTATGAGCAAACAAGTTCTAAGTTCAGGTGGCCCTGCATTATAACTTCCATGTCAGAGGACCTTCCAGTCTTGGCTTCAGCTC